CTTAAGTACTTTTGTTCTTCTTTGTTAATATCTCTTTTTTTGTTTGTTTGTTTTATTTTCCCCATCACAAAACTAGGTTGACTATTCTCTAAATTAAGTTCCATCTATTTAATTATATGATTTGCTCTGCTCAGACTCCAATTGATAAACAAACAGAAACCTACAGATGTGTTGGAGAATATTCTAGTAGTAGTAAGGAAGTTATCCAGAAAACTTTTCTGGGAGATCAAGTACATGAACTAGAAGATTTGATGATTTGATGAGGTTCCTAGTTGAAAAAAAAAAAAAAAGGTACAGATAGTTATTTTTTCCTATGTTTTTTTGTGTTCTAATGATGTTGATTGATCCTCATTATTATGAGATTCAGTCATGGGTTTGTCAGCTCAAAGCACACTAGGAACAGAGAACATATAGTCCTAGAAAGCTACATTGTGATATGCAAAAGTTTACAGAGACACACATCACACATTATTTGGTATCTTAGGGGTTCAAATAGCATGTAATAGAAAATTCTGAAGAATGCTTGTAGGTTATGAAAATGTACTGTATTGTGCTTTTATCTACGAAGAATTAACAAAGTGAGGTGCTTGCATTCCTTACAATAATTCTAGAGGTAATTTGGGGGTATGAGAAAAGTGAGATTCATGTGGACAGGCATAGTGTCATCAGCTTTAATCTCAGCACTCAAGAAGCTGAAGTAGATGGGTCTCTGCAGTTAAAATTTCTTTTGGGCTGCTAGATCACAAATAAAGACATTATGATTTCTTCTTAATTATAAAAGTTCATCCTATAGCTTAGATTTGTCTCAACCAGCTCTTATAACTTTATATTTTCCCATTTATATTGATCTATGTTCTACCACGTGGCTTGCTTGTGGTTATTATCTCACTTCTTGTATATCCTGCTTCCTTTACCTCTCTGGTGTCTCTGACTTTTTTCTTCTCAGAGTCCTGTCTGTCACTGGAAGTACTGCCTAACCTATTCCTGCCTAGCTACTGTTTAGTACTGTTTAATCAGCTCTTTACTAAACCAATCAGAAGGCACCTTGGCAACTACATATTTTCACATTTGTAAACAAATATTCTGTCACAGATCTCTGTGAGATGGAGGCCAGCCTGGTCTACAGAGTGAGTTCCAGGACAACCAGAAACAAGAGCAGCAACCTGAATCTTGGCTGGGTGATGATAAGATGTTGTGTTATTTCTGATGACAAATAAATGATTTGTGACCTAAGTGGTAAGCAGCCAGAGGGAGAGAGGAGATATGGAAATAGAATGGGCAGATTGGGTCATTAGTTTGACATACAGAGTGCAAGAGAATAAAGTTACAGAATTTTTGGGGATCTACATTATATGAATATGGAAAGAGCATGGTTGATCTAGAAAGGAAAATTCACTGAACTACATTATTTCTGTTCAGTTTACAACTAAATAAATTTAGATATCTGTATTGAACATCTCTGTTTAAATGGAACATGTGCCTATCTTGCTTACTCTATACCATGCCATTACATTAACTAATATGCAAGTTTTGCTTTTTCTGGGAAGATTAAGAGCCAGGAATAAGGCTGTAGGTTATGTATTCTGGACACATAAAAGTTCCCAAGAAGAATTAAGGGGGGAAATTAATATATTTGACAAAATTAGTTTAAAGAAAATCCTGGAGTAAAACAACTCTTAAGTGAAGAACACTTACAAAATTCATGAAAATCTCAATATTTAATCAAATAATTCTTTCTTCATCAATGCCTGTCTCTAATTAAGAATTAGTGAGAGTCTCCTCTCTGACAGGCACTGTGCTAAACACTGTGAATAGCAGAACAAATAAAAGGAGGAATCCCTATAAAGATGTATTCCTGTTGGAAGATATGGTCATATGCAAAGCAAAAACAAGCTATTTAGGAGGCCCTGAGGGAGTCAAGCAGAACAAATGTAAAGAAGTAGGGAGACAAGAACCACCAAAGCCTTATTTAGCAGTGCTCTGGAGATGCTTTGATGAGTGCAGAGTAAACACAGACTGAATGTTTAGAAGGACCAGGTGGAAAGGATAAAAGGTTTGAAGTGTTAATGGGCATTTCAGGAAAGAGAAAGACCACAGTCCTTGTAATAAGGTTGAAGGCACAGTGGTGACCCGGGTGAAACTTCAAGTCATGTTTACATAGAACTTGTATCTCCCAGGAGACACAAACTAACATTTAATGCACATACAGGAACTCAGAGTAAATGTTGGCATTATGCCAACCCTGTCCCCTGAAAACTAGCAGAGTATACCCTGGCATTATGCTGACCATGTCTCCTGACAACTGGCAGGGTATGAACCCCAGGGTTCGGGCAGATACTTAGACAGTTCAAAGGGCCCTGTGTTGTGTAGCTACATCATGTATTACATGGCTGTGTGAGGACTCTGTAAGCATGTGCAAGCTTCCCCTTTTAAGTGAGTGCCTCCCACCTGTTTGCCCCCTTCCATCTCTGTTTCTGGTTGGCCAACACCTACAAACTCCATGTCAGTTTTGTTGAGTTTTGCGGTTCTTGTTTCATTGCCTGAAGCTGCAGCAAACAACATAATAAGTGCTGATTTTATTTTTGGCTCAATGAAAGAAAAATAACGATGCAACATCCTCAAGATTGGACAAAGTAGAGATAGGTGGGCTTCATCAATTCCTGTTCCTGAAGAATGTAACTTTGTATAGTGTTTCATACAATATTTTATGTTAAAAAATTAGCCTTAATGTTTTTAACCCTGTAATTTTTGTTTTGAAGGTTTATTCCATTAATTTTAACAGACAGAAATTTAAATGTGTATGAGGAGATTTTTATTTCAAAAATACTTCAGACAACAAATTTATAACTAACCTAAATTTGTACAGTATATCCTAACAATCCAATTAAAAGGAATGTTAGGCAGCCACTAGGCATGGAAGACATGTATGACAGAGAAAAACAAAGGAGATCATTCTCCTTTATCTTGTCCCTGTGGAATTATTACTCTTAACTTGCCATTTTACCATGTGCAGCAGACATATTGGTTCTCAGGTCCATTGTAGTTAAGATCTGCTTTGTGAGTAAATTCTGATTATTAGGTTATAAGTATAAATGTTTCTTATACTACCAAAAGGTAGTGTCCATGTGCTCCTTGGTATCTTCCTCATTCATTCATTTTACAGAGGCCATGAATACAAAATTTAATAAAATGAAATAAAATGTACAAAGATTTGGCAGGAAGAAACTAATATATAATATTCATGCAAATTGTAACATATCAGCCCCCGCCCAAGAAAACCTATGGAAAATTATCTAGATGTTCTATAAAATGTCTAATTGAAAGATTTTACACATTTAAAAATCCAGGATTCTTTGTATTTTCTTTTCTTCTCACCCACAGAAATACTCGGCTGGGAACTGTGTGCAGAAAAATGAAAACAAACAAATCTTATTTAATAATTATGACAAAATAAAATAGCCTAGGGATATCATTCTTTAAATATTTGAAAAGTTTATAGAAATATAAATACAAAACTCTTGATGACAATAAACAGGGAAATGTAACAATCAGTAAGTCACAGCCCCACACAATCAAATGAACATAATTAAATCCCACTGAAACCTCTTAACTGAAACCTCAAAATTACTCAGGGGTGCATACAAAATCCGAATAACTATGTAGAGTACAGTCAACACAGGACTAATGAAGATACTCAAGCCAGCATGGCATGACTCCCTACACCCACAGGTAAGCCAGTACATATAATGGTAATGGCTTATGGAACGAGCAATTGTCCACATGCAAGGCAATATGGGAGTGGCCTTCTGTGAACACTTCAACTTGTGGAGGAAGGTGTTAGTCTAAACATTTCACACCTGGAAACTTGAATCAGAGAAGCCAAATGGTTAATTAATAGTGAGACGGTGAATTCCACAACTTTTCAATACTACTAATGGGTATTAATATTAGAGGAGTCATTTTCTACCTATTGGTAACTATCATGCATTAGTAATATATATGTTTTTTCATTTTATTGTGGTATCAAATTATACATGCCCATGTTGGGTTCTTCATGTTTGATAGATATTTTGAAAATAAAAACTGTGAAAAACATTGCTTTGCCATTATTAAAGGTTATAGCAGCACAATAACAGGCAAAATTGGGAAAAAAGTGAAGCTTTTTTATTTTAAATTTTTATTTATTATTATTATCATTTGGTTTTTAGAGACAGGGTTCCTCTGTGGCAAAAAGTAAAGCTTTATACAAATATTTTTATTTCAAATATTTGGCAGTGATTATTATTTTAAAAAATCTGACTTTTATATTTATGTTGTAATGAACTCTAATAAAATGAGAAACCTGCGTAGTCCCTCCAGATTCATCTGTTCACCAGTCCACGTGTGATTGTATTTTTAGTCCTGATGTTTGTGGAAATTCAATAGATAGCAAGCTTGGTTCTGAACTTCTTAATGGAAAATGGGTCTCTTAAATGGCAGAGAGGAGCGTGATAGATCTTACTGTACTACATTTAAGATGTAGCTAGAATGGTCTTTGAAGTTAGAAGTACACTGACAAAAGAAAAATGTGGACTGTATTCAATACCCTTTCCCCCATGGGTGGTTCAGTAGTTGTGACAAAGCCTTCTCAGTCTACATGGTGACTCACACTGTCTTCAACAGGAACTCATCAAACCGGCTTCTTCGTAAGAGATAATTTGTGGACATGGTGTCCAATTGCAGAATTCCATACATGTATCAAACCCAAATATTTTCCCTCACTGATTGAGTTCCAGAAAGAAAATATTAATTTTCCGTGTATTTCCACTTGTCTACTAGAAGACTAATAATTTCTTACTCAATAATTTTACTATAGCTGAAAGCAAATAAAACCAAGATTTTACTCCAACTTTATTAAGGGAAAGCTTCAGTAATAGGAAGCTGGTGTGTCACCAGCACTTTCCAACCCATGCAGATTGTCTCTACTAACAGTAAATGGGTTTCCAAATCCTCTCCCCAGATATATGTGTCACCTGTGTTAATTCCCAGGGAAGAGGTAGAAATATCGTGTCATGGATACTCTCTCAATAGTGGGCATCTGGGTGAGTTCACCAGGATCCTCAAATGAATGTTGAACCTGCAGTGATGAAGAAAGTCCTTAGTGATCTCCTAAGAAGGAAAATTCTCTTGCTGCTATTAACAGCAAAAGGTGAGAAAATCTCACCCTGGAAGTTAGAGCTATGGCTAAGTAGTATAGCTGTTTAGCTTTTTCTGTCTGCAGACAGGATGACATGAATAGTGATCATGCAAGGTGTACAAATCAGAGGGCTTTGGAAAAACAAACACTGCTTTCATGTGGTATTCTAGAAAATTGTTTTTTTTTTTAATAAATTGGGATAATTTATTTAAATAAATTCAAAATCTTACATTTGAATTTTAAATAAATTTAAATAATAAGTAGCATCAAGATAAAACCATTTATGGCTCTTGGCATATGGCTCTTTACACTTTTTAAGGATATAAAAGATTAAAGCCAAACCTGTACCTTTCGAAAAATTTCCTCCAAATGATAACACCAACAATACTTCTTGAAGCAGTCGATGAGTTTAGAAATGAAGAGAGAGCCACTCATGCTTACCTTCCAAGAAATATTATCTGCAAATAAAAGCATGCAGATGGAAAAGGATGAAGTGTGGAAGACCTCAAGCATCACAGTTTAGGAACAAAGTATGACTGGGTACTTCACAGAGGACAGATGGCCAAAGCTGAGTAACACTGAGAGCTTAGGTTTCCATAAGAGACACAGAGGAAAGCTGCAGAGGCATAAAAGAACATGGGTTTTTAATAGGCAAGGCCAAAGTTACAGCCTCTGGCATGCAAGTCCTGTGAAAGAACAGAGCCCTTCCAGCACCCACTTCACGGTAGAGAACAAGTTTCACCTTGAGCAGTACTTGCTTCCCCGCTCTTCACCCAGCTTTATTCCTGCCATAAATATTTGCACTTTTTTCCTTTGAACAATCTCCTATGAAGACCATTTCCCTGACATTTGATCATAACTTCTATTCTTAAAACACAGGGTGACAGTTTTCCAACTATTACTTAACCATCATCTTACTACCTCTTTCCTCTATTATGGTTAGTCCTTGTCTTCCTCAAGAGCTCCCTTCCAGACTATTCTGCTCACTCCTAACTGAGTTGTTCCTCCTACATTTACCAATATCACAAAATAGATCTGCTGACATCATCTATGATTTCCAGATCACTAATTGCACCTCACTGATCAGTCCTCACCCAGACAATCATTCACACTAGAAATCATCAGCTCTGACATAGCGTTACTGATAACTCTGAAATCCATTCTTCAGGTTTCTCTCCTGGAGACCTGAGGAGTCAAGTACACTTGTTAGTCTTTCTATCTTTAGTGTTCACTTCTAAGAGGTTTTTCATCCTCACTTCAAGACTTTTTCTAATACTATTTTCAATTTCCTGCTGCTTTTATTTATTGTTGAGATTGTAAAATATTTTTGACAACATAAAATCCACAAATTTAATCTTTCATGCTGATCTCTTCTATGAAATATACAACAGTTCAACTCTTTATTAGTCATTCCACCCCAAGCTATTCCATGGCCATCTCAAACTTTCTTGAAGAAATCCCCCCCTTTAAAACAGTCACATTTGTTAATATTTTAATTTGTAAAATATAAGAAAGTATTTATAGTGCATTCTTCCATATAGGTTTCTGCTAAGTAGAATTTAACATTGTATGAAACAAGCTAGTACAACATTTAAGACAAATAGAAATAACCTTTTAACATTCACCATCATCATCTTCTTGGATATTGTATAACTTCCATATTCGCAATCTTTTCCTGATCAAAGTCGGCGAGTCATGCTGATTGCATTACTAATTAATTGAGCCAATGACTTGCTTTACACATTATCATCATCTTCTCTGGGTCACAGTCCTGTAACAGTGATCTAAACTTCCTCACTGCATCCATTCATTCATTTCAGAGACAGACCTCCATCATTTCATTACTTGAACCTCACCAAAATTATCACCAAGGAAAATTACCTAAGACCTTCCCTTATCTGACCACTGCCTTTATGTCCAGTTTCTCTCTTGGTTCTGTGCCTAGGAAACCTTGTCTTTTCTGCCAAGTTTTTCTATATTTCATTGCCTCCATACATGTTGCTTATACCATGTAGGATTCCCATTTTCTTTTTCTTTATCCTTTGAATCAAATATTCCTCTATTGCACTTAATGTTAGGGACTACCGTTGTTTCAGTTACAATGTACCTATGTCTCCTCCCTCCCCTGCCCCAGCTAATGCCTGCCTCACAAGCTTGAGTTAGCTAAAATCAGTGTCCACCTGTGCTTTCTTCGTGGAACATGTGCACTTTTCACTAGCCCAGTTCTAACAAAATTTTGAATGCACAATCTTAATGAAATAACTTTGTGTACTGAACTTTATTTCCACCATTAAACAATATTTCTGTGTTCTTTTTACATCACATATAATTTTTAGTTTCTTTTGTCACTTATAGGTATAAAATTTTTCTTTTAAATAAAAGCTCACTAAAATTGCAATACATAAAACAAATAAAAGCATGCCCTATCTAGTTGTGGATGCCCACTGTCTGTGCCAGCCTTCATTCTCTGCTACACACTTGGACAGTCTGCTCATCTCTCTGTCTCACATATGGCCACAGACTAGCAGCAGATACATCACCATGTTTTATTAGAAAGTTTACAACAGCTGCATATAAACATCTCCAAATGATTCATACATATATTAGCCCTTATAATTATGGAATGTGAACACAAGGAAGCATGACTTGTGCAAACTTGATGTCTCCTGATGCCTTGCTATCTAAATCCTTGATAGAACCTGTTGTAGATGACTATGAAAAAGTATGTTTAGCTACACTGACTGTCAGCTGCTGTGAATGTTCTGTTTCTCAGCTGTACATTACCTAATTATAATTTCCCTGTCACAATAAGGTCATTGGCCATTTGTTGATTATGTTAATGTAAGGCAGACATTACAGAGTTTAACTCATTTCCCAAACTTAGATTAAAATAATAAGCTGAGAGTTACTATAGTATTACTATGGACCTAGCAGTTTTTACTGGTTGAGTATTGGGAAATCACAGACTGTTATGGATTTATGTATCACTGATAAATTTTAAGAACAGGTCAAAGTAAAACATTATTCCCTCTTTACAATTGAAATATCTAAACTTTGGATTTTCTAAAACAACCTGTTTATGTGAAACATTTCTAAGCAAATATGAAGATCCAAATACTTTAAATGTCTACACCAATGAAAGCATCCCAATAATTAGTCATAGAATTAGTCATAGTTCACTGAAAGTATTAGCTCAGCCACACTTGTTGTATAAGCACACTACTAACAACTCCACAGTGTCTAGAGTCACTTACGTGGGGTAGAAGATTTGAAAGCAATGAAATCCATTTCCACGTGGGCCTTTGTCACTCTGTTCTTCCATTTGGAGCTCACCACATGCTCCTGATCTGTATCAGCAGTGGCTATCCCTTTGCTTGTGGATACCCAAACAATTCCATTATGTCCTAGGAGAGAATGAACTACTTAAACAAAGTAACACATGTGTGTGTGCATGCACACACACGCCACAGAGATAAAGTACATCTATTACCAGTATATTCTCATTTGATACATTGCATGGTTATTTTATTGAAAATATGGATATTTTATTGAAAATTGTATGTGTGTGTGGTGCATGTACACACACACACACACACACACACACACACACACACATATATATATATATATATATATATATATATATATATGTATGTATGTATAAGTTATCCATGTCAATGTGCATACTCAGAGGCCAAAAAGAATTATACCATATCAGCTGTTTTGCTCTACCACTCTTCATTTTATTCTCTTGGTAGGATTTCACATTGGATTTAGAGCTAATCGAGTAGCTAACAAGCATTAGTAATCTGCCTGTCTCTACCTTCTATGATCCTGGAGTTATGTGAAACCATGATTTGCCTGACTTTTCACATAGACTCTTGAGATTAGTTCTTGCACAGTGAGCATTTTTACTCACTGAGTCATCACCTCAGCCCACAAATATTGTACTAATAGAGAAACTCCCACTGACCAAGACAACACAATAACTAGCATGTCTAGAACAACAATGCTGGAACATTTCTTATTAATCTAAGCTATTTGTTTTTCCTTTAAAACATAGAACTTAAGGTAGTTCATTTTGAATTAAATGCACCATTAATACTAAAATGTCTCCCTCATTTATCTTCTAGAGCATGACATATACCCGCCCGACTCAGAAGTAATGTCAGAACTGCACCCTGGGGCCTGATTAGACTCACTGCCCCTGCAGGCCTGCATGATGAGGATCTTGGGTTTATTTCTCAGGCTGCAGCAGTTGGAATTGTTGAAAATTGTGAAGATGGTGTCATCATGAAGAACGTCTGGCTCTGTGTTCCTATGCTTCACCCCACAGATTCCTTCCAGGATGCCATGGGACATAAACACCAGGAATGTGCTGTCAGATGACTGGTGTTCTGGACGGCCAGCAAACTGCTTTAATTCTGTCTCCATTTCCTGAAAAGACCTTAGAGTCATTCTCAATAACAGATGACTTTTAGAATTGACTTGTACAGAGTAGAGTTGTAAGAGAAATGATGCATATTATGTATATTCACAATATGTGAAAACCAGAGTTGCCAGTTTTACATAGCTTATAGTATGCAATTCAAGAGAAACTTGGATGTCTAAAGACTCTTTGAGATGGCCTATAATCAAAGCCAACTCTGTTACAATTAAGTTTTGGGAAATTTTCATTAAAAGAAGAGGCAGACAGAAATGGATGGAGCTAGAAGAAACCATCCTGAGTGAGGTGACCCAGTCACAAAAAGACAAACACTGTATGGATTCACTCATATATGGTTTTTAGACATAGATCAAAGGATTGTCAGCCTACAGTCCTCACTGCCAGAAAAGCTAGAAACAACGAGGACCCTAAGAGAGACATACATGGTCCATTGGAGAAGAGAAAGGGACAGGATATACCACACAAATTCGGAGCATGGAGGGGAGGCCAGGGAGTTAGGAGGAAGAGAAGGAGGGAAGTGGGCATGGGGGAGCAGAAAGATTGAGTCAGAGAAACAATAGAGGAGAGCAAGAAAAGAGATACCATAATAGAGGGAGCCATTATTGGTTTTAAGAGAAATCTGGCACTAGGGAAATGTCCATAGATCTATAATGATGACCCCAACTAACAATCTAAGCAATGGTGGAGAGGCTACCTTAAATGCCCTTCCCCAATAATGAGATTGATGACTATCTAATATGCCATTTTTGAGCCTTCATCTAGTAGCAGATAGAACCAGAAGCAGACACCCAAAGCGAAATACTGAGTCAAACTCCTGTAATCCAGTTGCAGATAGAGAGGATTTATGAGCAAAGAGATCAAGACCACAGAAACAGCTGATATGAACAAGGGGGAGCTTATGGATTCTAGTCTGATAGCTGGAAAGCCAGCATAGGACCAGCCCAGATCCCCTGAATGTAGTGTTAGTTAGAAGGACTGGGCAGTCATGGGGCCTCTGGTAGTGGATCAGTATTTATCACTATTATATGAATGGACTTTGGGAGCCCATTATACATAGAGAGATATTCCCTCAGCCTAGACACATGGGGAAGGGCCTGGACCCTGATCCAAATGATATGACAGATTCTGAAGATGAGGATTAGTGGGGGGATCAGGCGAGGATGGGAGGGTATGGGAACTGGGATTGACATGTTAAACAACCTTGTTTCAAATTTAAATTTAAAAAGGGGAGGAAAAGTAGAGTCAGACAAAAAGTGTATGTTGACAAAATCAATAATATAAAATTTCTTGATACCAAAAAATAATAAGTTTTACATTCTTTAACCAAATTTATCCAGGTTTCTTTAGGTAAAACCAAAACTACAAAAGCTTGTATAACTCTCAATAATTAGACTTTTTTTTTTTTTACTATATTGTTAAAGTCTCTTGTGTTTATTCTTGTCTCTCTGAGAATAGCAGGTAATAGAGACAGTCTATAAGACCCCTGTCTTATTGAAATAACATTGCATGGGTATTTTCAGAACGGTCTCTTAGACTTTGTACTCTGACATATTTGTTCTTGTTGTTACCAAAGAGAGGCTGAAAATAGTTCAGGGAAGGTTGCCATGCTCTCTAGGCCCATTACCTTAGCTATAAGGTTTTCCTTTATCACCACTGAGTATCCAAGGTTTTGAAGTAGCCCTTGCATGTTCAAAATATCAATCTCAGCATTATCTCTATCAAAAAGGTAGTCAAACTTTTTGTTGCAGATGATGAGAGCCAAACGTGTTCGGCCTTCCTTCTCCATCACTGGATATATCTGAAGGTTACAGACAGACTGATTTAATCAATTGCCCCCCCCCAATACCTCCAAAATCTTAACAAAGCTGACAAAAATATCCATAGTGAACAAAATGTTTCTGATGTACTCATGCTGCTGATTACATGATAGGACCTACGACTGAAAACATATATGGGGGCTGAGTAGGGTATGAATTTTGGCTAGTGACATGGCTTGGATTATGTGGTAGAATGGATTTGAGAACGTGTTCTGAGATGAGTTTTAAAAATGGGAAATCCAAGATGAGCTGACCAGAAGAAAACTATTATAAGAACTAGAAAGAGTCCACACTGTCTGCATGGGGTAACTCCAGTCCCCTGCTTCTAAAACTCATCACCTCTTTAGCCTTTTCTGTCTTCATTTTATAGAACTGATCACGAGGACAAAGCTTCAGCGTGTCTTGGGCTTCCATGCTCTGGATTTCAGGAGGAGCTGAAAGAGAAAACAGAAGCAGGAACTGAAACTGGCCTGCAGTCATGCACATATTGTGGCCACATGTTCATTGTTCTAGACTGCTCAGCTGCTGTTCCTCAGAAAACCGTAATAAAAGGAGGACACATTTCATAGATAAAATGACTGGAAATGAGTCTTGATGTTTGATGTTTTCCTCTGTTTTCTTTTTGTTTATCACTAACCCTGCTGATGTTTTGCTTTTCTAGTATTTACAACTTTGGCTAGACTTTCAGATTCAACACGTTAGAATCACATGAGTTCAGGGATTTAAACTTTGTAAAGAAGTTTAGTTCCATTTAGTTTAATTACACTAGAAGTTGATATTTCCATTTTATACCCTTATATTACCCTTCAGATCCTTCTAGTAATGACTGGAATTCTGTGTCAGTCTACAGTGTTCTTTAAAGTTCTAGCTATTGAAAAATATGAAAAATATGTATTCTCACATCTGGACCATGTGAACAATATTCCATTCCTTTTCCCATAAAAATCTCATGAATTCTCCCATGTTTTTATGCTTATTGCTTGTAAACTTAAAAATAGAAAGAAGTCTTTTATCTTTGTAGTCCCAGAATCTAGCACTATGTTTCCCAATAGAAAGAAAAAAGGACTTCATTTGTAAAGACTGGATATTTTCAAGTTCTTGTGAATATTTGATTTTATTTCTTTGATGTCCCAAAGGACAGTGAGACTTCTGATCTCTGTAAGCAAGAGATAATCTGTTTGCCTGTGTCTCTATCTGTGTCCGTGTTTTCTTTCACACTACAAGAGAAGGTACATCATTTCTAAGAACACTGTCTCTCTTTATGATTTGAATTCCACACCTCACTCACCCACAAGAATTTTACTGGAGTTTTACTTAGAATTTTGTTTTTTCCTCTGCCCCACCTTGCCCCTCTCTTCTTACTCTTTTTTAATGTGCTTGGCTCTACCAATAAATGCTAATTTTAATATGGACAGGGATATATAAGGGAAGTGTACAGCATGAAAGGAAGTGAATATATTCAAATATTTTAAAATAGAACACAAAATAAAAGAAAGGTGTAAAGGGGAAGGACATTTCACTATGATATAGAATGGAAAGGAAGGAAAGGAAAGAAAGGACATGTGGAAAGTGAGAAGTGGAAGATTGAGGAATTTCTTTGAACATTTAACTGGTAATCTTTTTTAAATTTTAGCAAGAAGAGAAAATTATATTCTCCTTCAGAGAAATCTATTCACTATATCTCTCATTTTATGTTTTTTTTTCTGATTTATAATATGCAAGCTGGGGTGAAGCAAACAGCTTACACACGAAGCATTTGTTAATATTCACATGTTTGAAACACCTTTTAGTGATTGGTGTCAACTTGCAAGGATGACTGTGAAGAGCAGTGTCTACAATTTGACTGAACTTTTTTGGGAATTACAACTCCTAATGAAAGCAACACACACACACACACACACACACACACACACACACACACACACACACACCTCTCATAATAGACTGAAAACATTTGCTAGGAAGTTCCACTCTGACTCTGAACCCACAGCTTTACTTAATTCACTCCCAGTTTCCTACTTCACAGTCAGATGACAGCCTTCCATATGGACTGATAAAACATTACAAGGTCATTCTTGTTTCAGGGCTTCTACCCTGGCTTCCTGTTTTTCCCAACAGTTTTGCATACTTCCCTTCACAGCTTTAAATGATGTTAGCACCTCTTCCCAGTGGGGCTTGGTGTGGCTACACATGTGAGTGCATATCCCTCTTACATGATGATTGTATATCAACACTCACTAAATTATAAACTCAATGGGAAGGGAATCTTGATCTTGATTTATTTTTCTTATTGTTATACAAACCAAATAACAACAACAGTAATTTGATATTTCACTTAATATAAAGTATATGCATATAAACATGAAAAAAAAACAAAGATTTTATTCCTTAGTTTGTCAAGAACTTCTAAAGATAAAACAGTCACACGAACACTACTCCTATATAAGTATAATTCCTTAATCACTGTTCATCAGTTTGGTGAACACAAGGAATGTGTGTCTCATACCATGTTAGTTGACTATATATATATATATATATATATATATATATATATGTATGTATACATATATATATACTGCACATATATGTTTATATAATAAATTATAAAAATATAAAACAGAAAACTCACATAATTAATAATCTTGTTTGTGCTAATAGTTCTGGAAATCTTACGGGTTTTATAATGGTAAAACTATTATTAACATCATTTAAGAATATGGGCCATTTGGACACTTCTCAGTGATAGTCACAGCTTTGCTGTATGACCTTCTTAGCTGCTATCCTAATTGTGTAACCAGGAAAGGCTTTTAAAATCTGCTTTATCACAAATAGCATACTCATACACCTTGGAACTGATATTACCTGTCAGTATTGGATGTGATGCATGGGCCACTCCAGCATCTTCCTCCATTTCTTCATCTTCTTTTTCTTTTATTTCTTCTGAAGAGAAGTGGCCAACAAGGAATTGAAGGACTATTGGTGGATGTGTAGAAAACCCAAACATTCCAAGCAAGGCTCAGTAAAATAGTCTCTGCTATAAAGCAGGGAACCTGCAACCCCCACCCTGCAGTGATAAGCAAGATCCCGTGGAGCAAGGGGTTTGGTGCCTTTACCCATCATACCAATCAAACAGAAACTGGACGCCTGCTCTGATAAAGTTTGTTCTTCACCTTTGCTGTCTTTAATTCCATTTTCAGAGCCTAGAGAAAAGAGGAATATCAGTGCTCTTTGTTCAGTGTCCCTTACCATCATCCTTTCCCTTTGCTTATAACTTTTTTAAAGATATTTTAAAAACAATCTTTTTAATTTACATACCAATCCCAGTTTCCCCTTCCTCCCCTCCTCCCACTCCATTTCTCTCCCCCCACCACTTTCCATCCCCCATAGAGGGTGAGGCCTCCCATTCGGAGTCAACAAATTCTGTCATGATCAGTTGAGGCAGTACCAAGTCTCCCCTCCTCCACTGTATCTAGACTGAACAAAATATCCCTCCATGGGGAATGGGCTCCAAAATGACAGGTTGTGCCCCTGAGATAAATCCTGGCCTCACTGCAGTAACCCAATAAACAATCACCCTCATTCAGAGAGCCTAGTTGCATTTTATGGCAGGTTCCTCATAAAACAGCCAACTATCTTACCCCCTTATCTCTACTATAAAAAAAGGACCACAAGAGACCAACAGGGGATGCTCTTTCAAATCTTGACTTAGGGTGAGGCAGCCACTGGCCAGTCCTGTGTACACCTCAAACTACACCTTTTATTGGACAGTAGTGGATTTGGTCTTTCCTCCTTTCTGGGGTTTAAAGAATGAAAATATATAAGGCTCTTTAGTGGAACATAAAAATTTAGCTGAAGTGGTTTATGTTCTGCTCTGGGGCATGGGGGGCAGTTACCTGATTGAGAAGATGATGCAGATATTTTCTTAGATTCATCAACCTCATCATCAGAATGAAATTCTGAAACAATAGGAACAGCAGATTCTTCAGGGATGTAAATAAATATCTGGGCCCTCTCACAGCACTGGGAAGTAAACCACCATGTTGTTCTCTGAAACATGAAGGTTCAATCTGTTCCCAAGCTTCATATTTTCTTATGCGAACTCCAGCTTATCCAAATAAAAAGAGGAGTTGCTTCTTCTATGAAGCAAGAACTTTTTGTTTCTTCAGCAATTACTACATAAATAGACTTAGCCAAAATCTATAACCAGAGTTTCTCCATGATAGAATTTATTTTTTTTTAAAAAAGATAGCCTTCCTACAACAAAAATAGCACAGAAGAAAGCATCACGAATTTAAGATACATATTTTCTGTATCACTTGTTCAGGTAGGCTCTATGGACCTGCAGATCAAACACCACTTGTCTCCTTGTGCTAAGTAGTTAATGGAGGACATAAACAACCACTGCTCTTTGATATTTGGCATTTTCCTTCCAAAACAGAAAACCTGAAGTATGAAGGAAACAACTACACACACATAAATCATAATATTTACTGTTTTTAAAGATAAGTTAATATTCCATTAATGTTCAAATTCATGTGTTTTTGTTTGCCTTATTTTTTCCCAGTAGAAACAAAGGTGAAGCATTCTTCTCTGGAATTAAGCCTTAGATAAGAGAAGGGTGGGGAGTTCTCCTGTCTCCCATTCAAGTCATTATCTAAGAATAAGTCCAAATTTCTGTGTGTGATCAGAAGCTTAGCTCACTATAAAAGCTGTCTCCTAATTCAACATGACTTAATGCTTTCTGAGCACCTGCCATCTTTCAGATGTCACTTTTACATGATCAATGTGTATTCATTAATAAAGCATCCCAAGAGGCCTGCCTTATTAAGACCATGTTTTGGAGAGTGAAACTCAATAATGGAATGAGTGTGTAAATTCTGTGGGGGTAATTAATGATGTTAACTGTTAAATCAAAAGTAAAATGTGCAGGAATACAAAAGTAGTTGGGGTGAAATGGAGCTTTGTTAACCTATTAGACAAATAGACAAGCAACAGCCTGGAGATGTGGGTAGGTTAGACTTCCCCTGTAAACAAGACAAATAAAGTTAGAAGGCTAGTCGCAATAGAAAAAAAATGAGTTGATGGCACTTTGGCCACAGCTACTCACTTAAACTCAGCTGTTTCTTGGAATTGACAATGTGACCTGCAAATATTTTGCTTGCCATTTCTGTTTTCTCAAAGATATTCTCAACCAGGTTCTCAGCGTTGTTCAGAAGGAAGCTGGCACCTTGCCCTATTTTTAGTAACTCGTCTCCATTTAATACATTCTTCTCCACCAAGTCATCAAAAACGCCATCCAGCATGTTCTTAGCCAAACCCTTGATCTTGTAGATTGGATCTTTTTCATATGTCCTCTTGCCTGTGCAAATTAAAGCATTTAAGCATGGAAAGGAATTTAGATATCTGTTCCTAAAGTAGCTGCTTTTGAACTTCATGGCCCTTAAGAACCACATAGATAGCTAAATAAACAGGAATCCCTGAATTCTTGGAAATTCTGCTTAATACATCAGAATAAGACCCAGTTTTAAAAGTTATTTCTTTTATTTTTTGAGATGCCTGAGTGACTTCTCGTTGTTTAAGAACCCACAGCATCTATCTTATCCAACACTCTTCAAGTTTATATGGGAGGAAACTGAGGTTGCTAGAAGAGAGAACTCCATTAAGCAATTTAGCAATAGATTTCTGATGTCTGACATTTCTGCCTATCGCTCATGGTCCTTCCACTTTTGCTCATGTTTATTAATAACTTCAAAAGATATATATGTCATAGTGAACCTATGAACACAGTACAGCTAGATTGTCACCCATTCTATTTATATTGCCAGGACTCTGTGGAAATGGAGAAATCAAACTAGCTGACTTGCTTGCTGCTGAGAGCAGTCCCCGTGGCAAACAGAATGATGGAGAAAATGAAAGTTGTTGTTCAATAGTACAGCTTCTCACCCTAACAACAGAACACCCGCATAACTGGGGAGAACCTCAAGTCAGGGAATCAAAAGGCAAAAGGCAAGTCAGGGAATTAAACCACAGTAAAATACTGAAATGATGCGTCTAGGTTCCTTACATTTTCCTCTTTTTCCAGCAATTGTAAAATAGTAAGCTGGGACCTTTGAGAGTTTGCCTGCTCCGACTACAATCTGGGCTGCCAAAGGCCCTACCCCACGCCCCCCCCCGGACTCCCCTGGTCACTTTCAGACAAAAACAACTATGTTCCTATGAAGTCCCTCCACCCATTATTTCTTCTCTCCAAAACATGTATGTAATTCCCTCAATACGACCATAAACAAAGAAAGGACTCACCTGCCATGGCTGTGTTGGCTTCTTGTCCATAAAAACTGGGAAAGTGAAAGCAATCTCAGAAACTGCCTTTCCTTTCCAGAAGCATACCGATGGTGCTGTGTCACTGGGAAACTCCAGCTTGATAAATTCTCTTGCTCTTTGTCAAGAAAGCGAACCAGGGAATTACTTTGATATGCAGTCTTTCTCCTTGACACTGCACAGTTTTCTGACTGAAAATATATATTCACACATAAATACATTCTAAGTCCAGTCTGTGTTTTAGCACAATTTCAAAATGCAATGTAATTTCTTCTTTTTGCATAGATAAGAAACCATACAGCAGTGTCATCTGGAGGTTTCAGAGGAAAGAGATGCAGGGATCTGTCAAACCTTGCTGATACCAGCAACCCCAACCCAGGTAAGTAATCTTGGTTTTTCTCTCTGAGTCAGCATATTTATTTGTTATTTTTGGATATTATTTACCTGGAGATACAGCACCAATTTTGGTTTATAAAATATAAAAGAGAGTCTTTCACTGCAGTTTTCAAAAATTTATACATAAATGATGGCAGTAGAAGTTAAATAATGGGGATGTTTATAAAATAGAAATGAATGTTACACAATTGCTTTTCTTTTATGATTCAGTGAGCTACATATTAGCTGCCTTCCTCAAGAATTTTTTTTCCTGTTCTTTATAAAATACTTAATACAGTTCTAATGCTGTTGTCTCCTGATAGGAGCCTTCATGTAGTAGCTTCCTTTCTCTATTGACATCAGGAGTTGATTGGGGTTACTAACACATCACCCTCAAAGAACTATGTGCCATTGCAGGTCCTGCCTTCAGAAAGGCCCATACACTTTTCCAACTTGGACACATGAACACTCATGCAGATTACCTGGTGGCCCCAGGAAAAGAAGAGCTTGCCCATTTCTTGGCAGAACAGGAAGTAGAGGAAAGAGAAGACAAATGATCAGTTGGAATTCTCCTTTTCCCTGTTTTAAACACTTCAGGACCTCTGAATTAACGGAACCGCATTCCATAGTCAATCCTCTTCAGAAACTCCCTCTCAATCATCCCTGCCTTAAGGATGTCACAGCCTCTTTTAATCCAATCAAATCAAGAATCAAAAAGCTATCACAGTGCCAGTGTCATACAATCATAACAGAATTATAACTTGTTCTTTAAAACTTCATAATGAATGGCATCTATTCTGACATATTGAGAACTAGCAAGTTTTGTAGATTATAACTTCAAAACGTTTGTCAAACTAAAATTCTATGAATAGTATAGTATAGAAAATCTTAGAATGAAAATCAGGTCTTCCAATTTCCTTAGTTCTTTATTCCAGATATAACTTCCCTAAGTTATTTCAGGGAGGACATCTCCTCTACCCATAATAAAATGATGGTGAGTTCAACCATGAGCCTGAAATGTAAGATAGTAACAGTTCATGTAAAATAGCCACAGCCACATAGCAGCTTTTGTAGTAAAAGACATCATTTTCCACATCTATCCATTTTCCAAATGCATGAGAATGTCTATTACATATTTCAAGTCATTGAGTACTTCATATAAAAATGAAATGTAAGTAGCTTAAATGGCCTCTTCTCCTGTTGGTAATACCAAGGCTTTCTGTTATTTTATACTCCAAGTATTATGAATTAGTTAATGTTTTGAGACAAGGTTCATAACCCCAATGTGGTTATTTGAAAGAAAATGCCCCCCAAAGGGAGGTATGGCCTAGCTGAAGTAGGTGTGGCCTTGTGGGGGTAAGCTTTGAGGTCTGCAATACTTAATCCACACAGTGTTTTAATTCATATCCTGATGCTTGTGGATCAAGATGTAGAACTCTCAGCTTTTTCTTCAGCTTCTTGTCTATTTGCATGCCTCCATGTCCCACCATGATGATAATGGACTAAACCTCTGAAACTGTAAGCCACCCAAGAAAAGGTTTTCCTTTATAAACGTTTCCATCGCCATGGAGTCTCTTCATAGCAACATAAACTCTAGCTAAGACACCCAGGTTGACAGAAAACTCTTGGCAGAGATTGGAGGCCTGTTCTATCATATTGACATGAAAAATACATTTAACCCTCATTTTTATTTCATTGGCACTAGCAAGTGGCTTCACTCTCTTCTGTCTAAGTCAGATGAGTTTCCATTTCCCTCTAATCATACTTTCTTTTGATATTCATTTTTTATTTTGGCAAAAATTTTATCTTGGCAAAAATAATATGAAACTGGCTCTCTTGATCCCCATCAATCTGAAATCAATATAACACACAACCACGATACTGCACCACTCTTACCAGCAATTGCTGTTTGCTGTGGTCTGAACATTTCCTGTAAATTCTCATGTGCTGAAATAATTTTTTCACAGTGTTGGGTTTTATAAACACAAACTGTTACAAGATAGGCTCCACAGTTAGTCACTTTTGGTCTCATCTGATAAAAAAAAGTGTGCCTTAGTACTGATCCATTGCATGTTCAGATAGTTCCCTTCCAGTTTTTTCTTCCATGTTGTGATATAGCTAAGTTGTCTGTCAGAACCACAAGGCAAAGGAATATCTTTGTTTCATAAAGTCCCACTGTCAAGTTTCTATCCTGTCATTGCTAATTAAAAAAGAAAAGAACCTAATATGTTGCCCCTTTCCTCCCTTTCTGACTTCTGCCACTGCCATTGTACCATGTCTAAGAATCTGATTACTCTAGGTACGCAGTGCAATCACATACTCTTTCTTGCAACTCAATTATTTCGTGTGGTGTCATGTCTAGAGTAGCCACCCTGTATGCTATACAATCCTCTTGGATTTAAATCTTAATGACATTCAGATTTGCTTATATACTGTAGTGCTTTTACACTTTGATGATCCAGTCACTATTTGCTTTGTTGCCATGATTTAAGTATTGTGACTAGTACTGTCATGAATAAAAATATGTCTTTCATGTGCTCATTTTAATTATTTTGTTTCAGTATAGACACTGGTCCCTGAAATGACACACCATATTGTGTTTCAGATTGGCTGTAAAATATCACACCCAGCCAACCATGTAGCAGGCTTCTGATTACAAGACTTCCTTGTTATAATTTAAGGGTTTTTTTTGGAATGTTTGTGTCCATGTGGGCATGTGTGTGTGGGCGTGTGTGTGTGTGTGTGTGTGTGTGTGTGTGTGTGTGTGTGTGTGTGATAACTACCCATGTATGGAGGTTAGAAGACAACTTGTGGAAGAATTCAGTTCTCTCCTTCTGTTATGTGGGAACCAAGGATCAGACACACTTCCTGAGCCTTGGCATCAAAAGGATTTATACACTGGACCATCTCAACAACCTGTCTGATAGATACGTTTTTGTAATTGACATCTTAATGTGTGCAGGGAATATCACATTACCTTTTATATTATCTATTTATCCTCTTACTGTGAATAATTTTCTCCACAAAAGCAACTGAAGGAAGAAAAGGTTGGCTGTGGTTTAGAGTTTGAAAGTACAATCTGTCACCATAGGTAATGATATGCCAGGAGTTTAAAGCAGCTGGCCACTTTGTCTCATGCTTAAGAAGATAACAATGAATTCCTGTGCTCAGCTTGTTTCCAGGACTTAGGCTTGCTGTGTGGTGCTCCCCAGTTTTAGGCTAGGCATTCTACCTCAGAGATTTGTCTCCAACATAAGTCTAGATTCTGTAAAGTTGACTATTAAAGCCAACTATCACAGGCTCCATTTTCATCACACACTGAGAACTAAATTCCCTGATTCTCTTTTACAGTAAGGTGAACATCATATGGGCCACAACATTAGGCTTCTTTTTCTTTTTTTCTATTTTTTTAATTTTTTCCTTTAATTTCATTTGACCTTCCAACCAGAGTTCTCCCTCCCAGGCCATCCTGCCCATACCCTGTCACCTCCTCACCCAGCCCATGCCCAGTCCACTCCTTCTCACAGGTAAGGTCTTCCATGAGGAAACAACACAGTCTAGCACAATAGGTTGGGGCAGGGCCAAGCCCCTCTCCCATGCATTAAGGTTAAGCCTGGCAACCCACCATAATTGTTATTATTTGCTTTATTTTTTTAGGTGATAACTAAAATCTACATGTGTGTAAGTAGAATACAAACTTAACAGTAGGGCCATTTTTGTGACCAGGCAAGACTTTAAGTTGAGGGAGTGGGAAACCAACCCAGTCACATAACATTTAACCTACAGTCTCTCCTTCCTATGGGATGTGTTGGGGTAAGAGAGGCCTGGAGATTGAGAGAATGGCCCACTAATGACTGGTCTAGCCTAAAACCCTTGCCAGTTGAGTGAGCCCACTGCTGACATTGACTGGAGCACCAAGACCTGTAATAGACTGGATGACTGAGAGACTTAGCATAGAACTAAACAGTACTGGAGGTAAAACAATGTTAAGGGAATGATGCCTAACAATGTTCAGCTATATATACAGCTATATACATAGTTGTCATCTGGGAGGCTTCATCCAGCAACGGATGCAGACTCACAGCCAAATATTAGGCAGAGTTTGGGGAACCCTGCTGAAGATAGGGGGCAAGGATTGCAAGAGCCAGAGGTTCTAAGCACCAAAAGAAAACATACAGAATCAACTAACCTGGGCTCACAGAGACTGAACTGACAACCATCGAGCTTGTATGGGACTTACCTAGACACTCTGCATATATGTTAGAGTTGTGTAGCATGGTTATCTTGTCGGATTGAGAACAAGAGCTGTTGATGAATAATGATAATATAGCTCAACATTACTATCTCATCCCATGTAACACGATAGTCTCCATAGATGTGAACATATATTTAATTAAAGGCCTTTCAATCTCCATTCTCTTTCCATCTATTCATGAGAATTCAATTTGGAGGATGATTTAATTTTAACCCCTAGTCAAGATGGATATTCAATAAAGTAGATTAAAATCTCAGCAACTTTTTTTTTAGGTTTGAATGTTGACTGAATCACACAATCAGCAATAGCTGACTTATGAAATCATTGTCCCTATACTAGTCAATCACATCCTATTTACC